AAACGATAAATCGTAATGAAATTATTGAACATATAATGAGTTTAAAAAATTGTTGCTCTCCGGGGTTAGATAAATTGACTACTAAAATTATCAAACAGCTACATATCCATCTCTTAAATCCCTTAGTGCATATGATTAATTTGATTTTTAAAACAGGAAAAGTACCCACACAGTTTAAAACCTCTGTAGTGTAGTAAATCCCACTATCTTGTTATTGAACACTAAATAGTTATAGGGAACAGGTAGCTAGATAGCTTAAGTATTTAGAAAGGGGAAGAAAAGGAAACTTAACCTTGAAGGTCTCTGCCCATTACACCTTAACATACTAGGATCGTAACCGTATCGACACATACAACCAAATATTCTTTGCATGTTTTGATATGCGACAACGCCCACTAGACCGTTCCATCACCGGCCAACACCGTAGCGTGCCATGACAGGACCATCAACAATTTCACGGCGAGTATATTTTGCAGGTACCGACACGGTCCATGACAATGTATGTTGTATGTGAGGAAAAAACGCTGTTGATTCGCTGCAGTGTGCCCAGTAGTGACCGGACGCTTTCTTTCGTGCCTGACACGTTCCTGTTTTGGTCATGGTATGGTACGCCGTAGTGGGCAGAGAGTTTAATTCACACATTACGATTTTTATGTTCATGGTGCGGTGTGATCGTTCATGAAAATTAATGTTTTACTTAATTTTAAATTAAACATGATGAAAATATTTATATGAAACGTTTATTTCAATCACCCACTTGAAGCCAACCCAATTATTACAAACTTCAGGTGTGGGGTACAGTGGATGGTTGAAGATTTTCACTAACCACGTTCTGTCTTAAGTGCAATACAATTATGAATAAAATGATTTCGTCGACACACACCTCCGGTGAAGCCGAAAACAACAAAATTGTTAACGAAAGTGATTTGGACCGCGAAACTTCGACATTAATGCTTTGATTAAGTCCAAAAACCAGGTTATTACGCAAAACGCTGCAGTGTTACAAATGTTAGCAATCAATCAATAGAACCAACAAGTGCAATAGGATCAAAAAAATTAATGTTTAGACTAGGAAAGAAGTACACACTCAGTGGTTAAATGATTGGGTTGAATTGAGGAATTGAGTACTCAAGTGTGTATATATAAATGTTTAATACAATTTAGCAAAAAAATTTTTGTGTGAGCTCAAACGAAATGGAATCTAAATTAGAAGAAAAAATTCAAGACTAGAAGAGCGATTGGCCAGATTGGAGCTAAGGGTGGGGCCGCCGCCCCTCTCCCCCGTCACCCCCAACGCCCCCACCAAAGGGGAAGAAGGACGAGGAGGATCCAGACTATATGCCGGGGTCCAGCGGCCTGAAACCGCCCATAGGGTCACCGAGAGTGACTCGCAGCAAGTCGCCCCGAGAGTAATGGGGCAACAATGGGCGGTGTTGAAGGAGGAGGAGGAGGAGAAGGAAGAGGAGGAGGAGGAAAAAAATAAATTTTTTTGCCAAATTGTATTAAACATTTATATATACACACTTGAGTACTCAATTCCTCAATTCAACCCAATCATTCAAAAAAATTACACCGTGATACCTGATTTTTTTTAAAACTAATAATAATGTTAGCGGTGACGATTTATCAAAAAGTAAAACTTGGCTTGAAACATAAGAGAGTACCGTGAAATGGGGTGACTTTGCCTTGTGGGATGGCTTTACCCAATTACGCCCGAAAATATGTTGAACGGACCCGTAGTCACTACTTTAACGATACTCGGTATCTGTTACCTGAAAATTATTGGTGGGGACGTACCGCATCTCTAACGCAGGCGTGAGCGCTTGCTATCAGTTGCATGTTAGCAATGACAGTGCCTTGAAGCTGAGCCAATTTTTTACGTATATTTTGTGTTTCAAACTTCCACTTGGCTCCAACAGTTAACTACGATATATTGAGGTGAGTACTTAGCAAAAGTTAATTATATTATTGAGTATAATGATAGTATGTAACATATCTTAAAAAAATTTTTTTTGAGGGCAAAAATGTGGTGGACAAAGTCACCCATGTCAACTAAACCCGTGGTGGGCAAAGTCCCCCCACCCGGGTAAAGTCACCCTGGAAATTATAAACCAGATAGTAACTTTGCCCAACGCACTTTTTTCATATATAAAATGCATTAAATCAAGACATGTTGTTTCAGAAAAATGCCCAGGACTTATAAAAAGAAGTTAGGAGCACGCCAGTATAAGAATTATTCTGACGATGCTCTCGCTCAAGCACTTGCAGACGTACGAAGTGGTACAATGTCAGCAAGAGAGGCTGCGGTTCAATACAAAATACCTAGGAAAACTCTGGACAATAAGGTAGCACAGCGACATTCCAAAAATTACGGCGGACAAACTGTATTTTCGATACAAGAAGAAAAAAATATTTTACGTCAAATCCTAACATGTGCAGATTGGGGTATGCCACTGGATTCCCTTGTCATACGACTCATTGTAAAAGAATATCTTGATACCCTGGGACGTGTTGTTAAGCAATTTAAAAATAATCTTCCTGGGGACATGTGGTATAGGAATTTCTTAAACCGACATCGAGACGAACTTACTGTCAGAAAATGCCAAAATGTCAAAAGAGCAAGAGCAGCAGTTGGAACAGAGCAGATAACATCTTACTTTGATCATCTGGAGAGGTCTTTAGAAAATATTCCAGCGCAGAATATTCTTAACTTCGATGAAACCAACTTTTCAGATGATCCGGGATCGAAGAATATGATCTTTAGAAGAGGAGTTAAGTACCCTGAAAGGAACATCAACTCGACCTAAGGCTGCATATTTGTAATGTTTACTGTGTCTGCTATTGGAGAAGTGCTACCTTGTTACGTAGTATACAAGGCGGAGCACTGGTGGAGAACTTGGGTTGAAGCGGGCCCTAGCGATACGAGGTACGGAAGAACCACATCAGGGTGGTTTGACGGGCCAAATTTTGAGGAATGGTTCTTACGAGTTGTTGTCCCGTGGGCAAAAAAATTGAAAGGTTCTAAATGTATTATTGGGGATAATCTGAGTTCCCACCTCAGCACAAAAGTTAAACAGCGCTGTGAAGAGCTAGACATAATATTTGTTTTTCTGCCTGCGAATGCCACCCATCTTTGCCAGCCTTTAGATGTGGCTTGCTTCACTCCTATCAAAAGAATTTGGAGAAAAATTTTGACGGATTATAAAATGAAAAATCCACACAGTGTAAGCTTGGAAAAATCGGTTTTCCCAAGAATACTAAAAAAATTATTCGAAGAGATGAAGCCAAAAATTGCTGAAAGTATTAAGTCAGGATTTAAGACGTGTGGCATTGTTCCAGTGAACCGCCAAGAAGTGCTGAAAAAAATACCAGGTGCGCCTTTGCAAGCTCAGGATGAAGCTCACAGGTTAGTAAGTGATACACTCCTCAATTATCTTCAAGCTTGCAGAAAAGGGGATAAGGAGTTTCCTACCAAAGGTCGCCAAAAGAAAATTGCTATTCCCGCAGGAAAATCTGTTTCCTTAATTGATTTGCAACCTCCTGACAGTAAACAAGAAAAACTATCTATGGAAAATTCTGAACTTACAGCTGGTTGCAGCTAAGCCATTTCGCATTCTGGGTCCAACAAGAGAAAAAAACAGCATCTTGAAACTGACTCTGACGACAGCAGCGACTCAGAGGAAGAACACATCTCTTTACACCACAGCTCAGACAGTACAGAAAGCCTTTCAGGTTTTGAAATAAATATGTAAGTGAATCCAGAGAAACTTAGCATTGATGATTATGTTATTGTAAAATTTGGCACAGGCAAAAAAACATCTTACAAGTACTATGTGGCCAGAATTATAGACATCTATGAAAATAGACAAGAATTTTCAGTTAGTTGCCTTCGCACACAAGACAAGAAAGTTTTCGTCTTTCCTAACGCACCCGACATTTCTGATGTAAACTTGGAGCAAATCGTTGGTGTTCTTCCTGCACCTGTAAGCTGCCATCGTGGAAGAATTATTTTTGGGGTTGACTTAAAGAACTATATAAATTAGGCAAAAATGTGTCTTATGTCTTAAATAAGTTAGTTGCTTAATAATTATGCTATGTTAGTTGGATAAGTTTGTATTTTTTATAAATAAGTATGTTGAACTGGGTGTATAACTCTTTGTAACTAACAAAATATATTGATATATATATATATATATATATATATATATATATATATATATATATATATATATATATATATATATATATATATATATATACGCCCAAGTGTTAGTTTGAGGACATTTTGTTCCCGTATTTGTTAGTTTGGGGACAAAACGCTTGTTTGGGGACAGTCCTCAAACTTTTATTATATAACTAACTGTGAGTTTAAGGACAGTGTAATTTGAGGACAGCAAACTTCCTTTGAGGACATTTTTCGCTTAGTTTGAGGACATTGTATCTTATATTTGAGGACAGGTAAACTGTCCTCAAACTTATTTTGTTATTGATAATACTCACGTAGGTATTTGGATGGGGACTGGAAGACGGACGTATATTGTTTACTCTGTTAAATTTTTGCTGGGTTTCAGACATTGTAATTTCCATAATAATTGACAACAAATGGGAGCAAAATCAATCTTATAACATAATATATGTAGTTTTCATGTGCATCTTAATAATAATGTCGCCTATTATTTAAAACCAGGCGTTCTTGACGGTTCTTATGAACATAGGATTAGTTTTAGTTTTTGTCATGAATGTCTTTATTTGACATATGTTTTTACATTGTCATTAATTATCCTGAATTATGTTGAATAAAGTTCACGCGTATTGAGCTCTTAGTTTTCTGTTATTTCGTTCAGAACAATTTATTCAACATATTTCCAACTATGGATCGAAATGAGTTCTACTTTCTGTCAATAACAAAAAATAAAATCACCTTAGTTATCACTTTATTTGCTTGTTATACCCAAATTAACACAAACTAAGGTATTTCATTACAATACTAATTATGTAATTACATTTAGGTATTTCATGTAGGTATTTGGAAATGAAACTAAAAATTTTCCTTTTAGAATATTTAAAAAAATAAGATTTAGAAAATTACCATAAAAAGTTCTACTTTATTGAATTTTTCCGTAGAGAAAGACAGCTCTGCATTTGCATCTACTTCTACAATGTTATTTTGTGTTGTGATACATTTCCAGTAAGTCATACCGGACTTGCAATAGCCGACAAAATTACAACCTTGACAAACAGCTGGGCCATTGAGAAACTAAAAATTAATTTATTGTTAAGAGACAGCGAAGCTAATATGGTCAAATGTTGTATACAGGGTGTTTGCAAATGACACTTACAACGTTTGCCTGTAGATACTTCTTGTAAAATTGGACAAAATGATATAAGGATTGAGGGGTCCAACCTATTTACATTTCGAAATACAGGGTGTTAAAATTATAAAAATTTAAATGCTTTAATTTGATAACTTTAAAATAAATGAATATATTGATTTGAAATTTGGCAGGTTGTTTTTAAATGTAAAAGGGCATATTTTAATGGAAAAACATATTTCCATTCTTGATCCAGTGGTGTACATTTGGAAGAATATGTCACCTTTCCCCTCCCATTTTTTACGCCACTGGCATTTGAGCTATTTTTATTTTTTTTTGTATTCCTCAATGATTTTCACGTGAAAAACGCATAACCTTTACATATCGAAAAATGTGTAGTTTTCAAGATAGTTAATGTTTTTATGAAGTCTGCCAGATCACTTTTTAAAGTGAAATAAAAAAAATATTTTTCTTAAATTTTTTTTAATAACTACCAAACTACTAATCGTTAGAACCAATTTGTGAAACAGCAATGCATCTAAAACATTGAGAGAAGATTGTTGAAAATACTTTTCCAAACGGAAGAGGAACTGATAGCAAGAATTCATTCAGCTATTGAAATTATTTCTGTCAATCGCGAGTCTTTCCAACGTATGCGATTTTCAATGAGAAAACGTTGCAGATTGTGTATAAATGTAAATGGACAAAATTTTGAACAACTTTTGTAATTTGTTGGCTGCTTAGTAAAAAATTATATTTGAATGGGATTTTAATTAATTTTGTAATTATCTTATTTTTTATTGTCATTAATTCTTTTGTTAATAAAATCACAAGTTTGGAAAAGTATTTTCAACAATCTTCTCTCAATGTTTTAGATGCATTGCTGTTTCACAAATTAGTTCTAACCATTAGTAGTTTGGTAGTTATTAAAAAAAATTCAAGAAAAATATTTTTTTTATTTCATTATTAAAAAGTGATCTTGCAGACTTCATAAAAACATTAAATATCTTGAAAACTACACATTTTTCGATATGTAAAGGTTATGCGTTTTCCACGTGAAAACCATTGAGGAATACAAAAAAAAATAAAAATATCTTCAAATCCCAGTGGCGTAAAAAATGGGAGGGGAAAGGTGACATATTCTTCCAAATGTACACCACTGGATCAAAAATGGAAACATGTTTTTCCATTTAAAAACAACCTGCTAAAGTTCAAATCAATATATTCATCCATTTTAAAGTTATCAAATTAAAACATTTAATTTTTTATAACTTTAACACCCTGTATTTCGAAAAGTAAATAGGTTGGACCCCTCAATCCTTATATCATTTTGTCCAATTTTACGAGAAGTATCTACAGGCAAACGTTGTAAGTGTCATTTGCAAACACCCTGTATATGAAGAAATAAACAGTGAGGGGTGTTTTATACACAAACTGCAATTAAATCAATGACGGTATAAATTCTCAAATAACCGTATCATATATGATTAGTACTGCCGCCGAATTGCAACTTATTTCAATCACTCGTTCTTAATACGCAGCAAATCAAGAGAAATACAATAAGAGTTGAATATGGACCAGAAAAAAATTATCCAATATGTACAAACGCTGTGGAGCTCCACTTTTTACATGTTAGAAAGGTTGCTTCATTCGATACGTTGTGTTACTATTTATCTTACTGAAAATAGCAGTATAAATAATTTAAGCAATAATCAATGGGACCGGTTGCAATATGTCCATGAATTACTTAGATCTTTTGAAGAGATAACGAAACTGATGAGCAGCACGGACTCAAGTTATTTCAGAAGTAATTCCAACAATTGCTGTATTAAAGCGCTATATTTTGTCCCATAGAATAGAACAGTTATATGGCATTAAAACTATGAAAGAAAGTCTCATTACAGTCATCAACAGAAGGTTCTCCGATGAGGAGTCTAAGGACTACTTTACCTTATCGACTATTTTAGATCACAGATATAAAACATTTTTTTTTCAAGTAATACTATAGTTGAAGATATTAAAAACAAAGTTGTGAGAAAAATCACAGAAATTAATAATAAAAGCAACACCAATGAGTCTGAATCTGAAATACAAATAGATGATGGGGATAGCGTGGTTATTAACGAAGGAAAGCATGATGAACCATTAGCCGCTAGGCAAAAAGAGCGAGGATAAATGAAAATAATAATATTCTTCAACAAATTCATCTTTCACACTGTGGAAGTGCTACGCTGATTTTGTATCACCTTCGACATCTGCAAATCTGCATCCTGGTTCGAAGTATTCGAAAGACAACATACTCCATTAACTTGAAGTGTAGTATGGAGTGCTGATTATTGATGAAAAGTCCGACCAATCTGAGTGGTGGAGCAGACACTGTGGAACATTTCCTGGTCTAATGAATTTAGTTACGCAGTTTTTATAGCTAGCATTGTTAATCAACTAAAAGAATGTGGTAGAGTAACTGAGACCGCAAGTCCACCTGTATCGCTGGTTAAAAAAAATGGTGAGCCACGCTTGATTGTTGATGATCGTAAACAAAACTGGCAAACTACACCAATGAATTTTCCTATGCCAGGATTAGATGAACAATTCCATAATGTAGCTAGTTAATAAATATTTGCCTGTCTTGATCTGTCAAATGGATATGCAGGTATCACTTTCTGATGAAGCATGTCAAAAAACTGCTTTCATTACTCCATATACAACCAGTGAGTTTAAGTGAAAGGTATTTGGTTTAACTAATGCACCTTACGAATTCGTTAAATTAATGAACATTGTTCTGGGACCCCTGAGCAATAAAATTTGTTGTTGTTACTTGGATGACGTTTAGAAAAGCAGAATTAAATTTAAACATTGAAAAGTGTGAATTCGGAAAAACTGAATTTGAATTTCTCGGATAGATTGTGTGCGACGAAGGACTTAAGCCGGGTAACAATAAACTAGTAGCTATACATAGCTTTCCGGAAGCAACGAACGTACAGGAAGTGCGACGATTTCTAGGACTTTCGGGCTTCTTTCGTTTATATAAAGATATACAATAATCGCCAAACCAATTACGGAATTACTTAAAAATCGTTTAACACAAGCTCATGTCCTAAAATGGTATGATTGTAAGGCCTACACAGAGTTACACACCGACGTGCTCTATTGGATTTGCGGGTATGCTCTTTCAAAAGGACGAAATTGGTAAAAATAGGCTAGTGAACTTTGTTTAGAAAAAATTAACATAATATGAAAGTAAGTACCATTCATCAAGACTGGAATTACTGGTAATACTACGGAGTGTCGAGCGCTTAAGATTTCTTGATGGTATTATAAATAAACGCTTTTACCATTTCAGGAGTTCTTCCTTTAAAAACTTGATTCTCCTGAATTACCTCCTTGCAAAAGGCTAATGAAGGAAGTTTCTTTTCTTCCAATTCATTACTAAAAATGTTGAAGGCTTTCTTTTTTTCTTCGTCAGTCCATCGCTGTCTCTTAACTGTCAATGAAAAAAATTATTAATCAAAAAGCAATGTATGTGTTAAAGAATTATAATAGCAAACAGTGTTAAAAATGTTCGTGATCAGCTGTTGAAAGATAAATGTTAGTTATAGTTTTAGTGGTGTACGAAATAAGGTGTTCATTTTAATCGGTCAGTAATTATTGAATTCCAACTGAAGGTGGTGGAAAACTGAAATATTAGCTTGAAACTTGATAATTAAAATATTCCTAATGCTAATTTTTAAACAAAATTAAATATTCCTAATTTTAGTTTGTTACTTATGCTAAGATGACGAATTGGTATTGCAACTAAGATGATGATAGGAATTGTATAATTTGTGACTACACTGGTAAAGATAATGAACTTCAAAAATTGGACCATGCAGAATGGAGTGGAGTACAAAGAAGCAAAAGCTTAAAGAGTGGTTTTGCGATTTTTGTAAAAAATAATTAAGTTTTGTTTGGGGATCTATTTTATATTTTCTTATTTTGTATTACTAGAAAAATATTCTATTTTTTAATAAATCTTTTACACAATTGATATTTTTATAACTTATTATTTAAAAGATACTTATTCCACAAAATATTTGCACTTTTTACTTCATTATATCTTTCACAATTTCAATTTTAATTACTCTTATGATGATAAAATCAATGTTGTTAAACGGAGTCAACAATGTACATCCTAGTTTTAACTGCAAGAAATATAAACCTTTCACTACTAATAACATTGAAGATTGATTATTAAATTTCCTTTTATTGATGTTGAACGTATTCAGATACAAATTATTTAATTACAATCAATAAACAATTATAATGTCCAATAAGACATTGAAATAGAGGAAAGTTGGATGAAATCCATGGTATGTATTAATATGTAGGGAGTCATACAAAAAACAATATACATTATACCTTTATTTGGTGCCTGCCCGGAACGGCTGAAAATGTCAGCTTTTCTTTTTTGTATTTGATTCGAAATGAAACCCCTCAACTGGCCAACGGATCTGTTTAATTCATTTTGTTCTACAAACGCACTGCATTCAGGATTAGACGGCATTTCACAATTTTTAATATAAAAATCGAATTCTTTGGATACAAGTTCTCGCTCTTCTTTTGTCCAAGACAATCTGTGACTGTTTCGTTTCTCTAAAAAAGTAAATGCAAGGCAATATGTAGTGCTAACGGATACTTGAATAAGAAATTAAAAATTGTGGAAATGACAAATATTTATCATTGTAACATGTAACAATAATGTGAACTGCAAAAACATTCAAAATTTGAAGGAAATAAAACTCTTAGTTAATAGGATTGTAGGGTAATGCCAATAAGCTGTTATGGTAGCTCTACAACAATTTATGAAAACTTGATAAATCCCAAGTAATTTCACATTCCTAATGCCCACAAGATATTTCACCCTCTATAGCTAGTAGTAAGGAATTAAAAACAAAGTCCTACAAAGTGCATATCAACAGCATAAACATGCATTCAAATCGTAAAGCGTTAAAACGTTTTCTTAAATTTTTTTGGAAAAATTCGTTTGGCAACGTTAAACAATTGTTTTTAAATATTACTATATTCTCTCAATATGCCACACTCCACGCTTCCGAAATATTTTAACCATTAAATACTTTGGTATATATATTTGCCATTGAACTTCTTGACAATGAAACATCAAGGTGAACTCTACTGAGTTTTTTCAATTGAGAAATGTCAATTTAACAGGACTGTTAAGTATAACGGAGCGTTAAAATATAATCAAACCTTGTGAATACATGTATTAGTGTAAACAATTCATCTCTCTAACTTCTGAAAAAAATCAAAATCTATGAACGGTATATTTGTTTTCATGAATTAATAATGCTAAAAATATTATGGTACTTGCTTCGACATAAACCACATATTTTAATTTAAAAAAAAATACTAGTGAGTATTCACCAAAATCTGGGTTATAATTGCTGAAAATAATATCTAAAAAGATGTATTCAATTGCCGTCAAACTTTGAATTAACCTGAATAAAACATTTACTGTAATGGTGGGATCTATTAGTACTAGAATACTAAGATATGCAGTACATTTTTATGATTCCGAGGTACTAACTAACCTGATCGTATACTAGAGTCCCTTTCGGTGTCACCCTTACATGGATTCTGGATAATCCCATTATCTGTAAGTTAAATATGTTCGAATATAGTTTATCAATATTTATTTACAAATAGCAATATAGGTAAAGTCTGGTTGAACTTTTAAGACGCACACGGCATCTCTTTGAAATCAAAAATAAACAAAAAATCACTGATAAGGCGGCGAGGGGCTTTGTGAAACAGTACCCATGGGCTTACTCTTATGTGCGCCTTACAAATTGCCATCGGTCGATGAACCGAAACCAATTGCAACTTGAAAAGCGTGTCTACTCATCCATCAGAATAGTAAATGAACAGATGCGCAGGTTATACTGATGGTCCACACGGACTCTAGGCCTGGCGCCAGCCGGCGCTTCACACGTTCCATTCTTTTTTGGCGATTTATCAACGACAAAGGAGGTGCCGACTGCGTCTTAAAAGTTCAACCAGACTTTATCTGTAAAGTTTACCTGTACTTTCTTCGTGTTGATGAGAATCCTTCAATGTGTCACCATAATTATCAATTTGGAAAGTAATGTCATCTGCGTCACCATTATCATCATACTGGAAATCTATGCCACTGCGAGTATTATCAGTGTCTTCCATACTATTGTTTTCTTGGGCTTTTTCAAGAATATTTGACATTCTTACAATATCTTTAGTTGCATTTGGAAGTCTATAGTAATCATAATGGATTTTTTCATGATGTCCTAGGTAGTCGGCCACATCTTTTATTTCCGTCTTGCCCAGATTCATTGTACCACATTTTGTGGCAATATGTTTCCTCAATTCTGTGCCCCTTAAAGTCTCAGGTCTCTTAGCACCACATAATTTCGAATATGTGTTCAATAATTTAGTTGCTGAAAGATGGCTACTAGAACTGCCTTGTATACCAAACAGATATTTATTCTTGCAATCCACATTTGCCCTCTTCCTATGCTCAAGTATTAGTTTAAGAGCAATAAAATTTGCTTTATTTACCATTACCGGTACTCCCCTCATAAGTTTCCCCTTTATTAGAAAACGTACATAATTTTTTGTTTTCTTTTTTTCAATAGAGTCGAGGTTTTTCAACAGCTCGTCGTTTTCTTTCAACTCCTCGTATTGTAAAAAATCATTGATTTCTACTCTTTCCATTTCTCCAGCCCTTCGGCGATTGAAGAGCTGTAAAGAAATTAAAACTGTACTAAGCAATTCTTTCCACGAATTGTAAGTAAAACTTTCATGCAACTTTTTCATTAACATGTCTCTACGATCTTCCAGAAATAGTCTTAGCTTCTGAATGTCTTGGGATGATGGTAATATTACTTTTTTCTTCCTTTTCTGTTCCAGTTGATTTTCTTGAACCGTTTTAAAAACATCATGTGTTAGACCATCTTGCAAAAGCTGTAGAAAATCTTTTACATCTTCTTGTCTGGATTTCGCTTTCTTTTTTATGTATTCCGATATCAAATAAAATGACATCTTCTTTAAATAGGAGCCTATGGCATAAGCCGTTGCTGGATTCTTATATTTACCTGTTTCTCGATTTAAGGAGCACATCTGATTTATACTGAGCATAACATTATCGTAGTGGACAGGATCAAATACATGTTCAAATTTTATTTCAGGTAAGCTTGAAACTTCTTTAAATTTCAAAAAAAAAGTTGCCACACACCTTAATCTTGTTCGGATCATTTTGTACAAATGAGGTGACCTATATTTCTGGGCTAAGCGATTTCCAAATAGAAGTATTCCATCATCTGATATAATAGTTTGGGCTACTTGATCATCACGTAGGACTGGAAGTATTTTGTATCTGAGGATATCACTGGCGACTACAGAAACAAATAAACTTTTTTGTCTACTTGACACTGAGACATCTTTATTTCCTTTTAACCTATTCAATTTACACCGCCTAAAATGTGATATTAGAGACAAATGGGAATACATTCCTCCACAATCGGAACACGGCTTAAAATGATATCCAGTTCTTTGTTTATTTGAAGAAGGGCGTCTAACGACGATTAAGTCATTAGCAGTATTGTATTCTGCTTGGGTATTATACATAAAGTCACCTTCTACTCTAATTTTACTGATGAGTTTAAGTCTAGTAGTATCTTTCTTTGGAAGGCTAAAAATGTATTTAACTTCATCTTCATCTAAGTGTTTTAGTTCCATGTGGCGTGCAAATTTTGTTTGCAGTTTCAAACAAAACTTACAAAAGTGCTTCTTCGATTTTGTCTCAATAATATTTAGCTCTCTATAGTTTAAGGTAATTGGTTTTAAATTGTCCATCTTCAAATCTAAAACATAATTAGAACTTTTATCCATAATAATTAACAGTTTAAAAGTATGTTAAGCATTCTATTCACAACCTGCTGAATGTTTACTAACATATTTCTAACCAGATATTTTAGATAGTGACAATTTACAAAACAATTGTTTAGACATGGTGATTCATTAAGAGTGGCGACAGCCGTATCTGGGGCTTGTCTTGGAGAAAAAAAAATCTTATAATCAAATCGACCCTAAAACAACGCTTAGGAATGTTTTTAAGTCCGTAGATTTCCTCTAGGTGGAGCAATCTCTCACTTACAAAATATAATTGCGTTTTTCACAAAATATTCCCCTATTAATTTGTAAAAACTATCAACAATAGAAACTAGGTACTGTCTTTACTCTACACCTTTTGTCTAAGTCGCCTATTCTAAGTGGTGGGAAGTGTACTTTTGACTTTTGTTGAGAGAGAAAAGACTTGAACTTCCATGTGCCTAAACCGATTTTCACAAATGTAGGCTCTAAAGAGCATTAGAGGTAGATTTCAGAAACAGATAACAAGAACACATGTAATCTTTCAATCGGCAACAAGAGGGCGTGATGTAACACCTAGCTCTATTTATAACTGTGACATAGCCAAAAATTCCTTCGGGGGGGGGGGGTGAATTTACTTAGGTCGGTTTAGGCACATGAAATTAAGTCTTTTTTCTGTCAACAAAAGTACACTTCCCCCACCACTTAAGAAGAGGTGATACAGATAATTGATTTAAACAAAAGTTGTACAGTAAAGACATTAGCTTCTATTGTAGATATTTTTCATCAAATTTAATACGGGCATATTTTGTAAAAAACACAATTATATTAGATTAAATCCAGCAGATTGTAATTGGTCTACAAAAAATAATGATACAAAATCAGATATCTTCTGTATGTTCCTTGTGAAATATTCATTTTTTCAGTTTATATTCGTTGGCAATTGAACCACAATCGTTTTTTGAAATTTTTTTCATCGTTTCGGTAGCGTCTGCCGTTATCAAGAGTTACTTTACTTTTTATCCTTTTCCCTAGAAGATACTTCTGAAAAATTCGACAGCTCGACAATCAATGAAATATTTTGAAGTTTAAGACTTCAAAAAACTTTCTAATTAAAATAGCATATTAACACTGTGGAGCGATATGAAATTGTCTAATCTTGTAAGATTGCAATGGTAACTTTGCCTAAAGGTATATTTGTATAACAGGGTTCAAAGTTTATAAATTTTGTTCCATAGAAATATTTCAAGAATCAAACTACATATTCTTTGTTGAAACTAAATGCAAAAATAAAAAAAGTCCTATAAAATATAAAAGAAGGTAGGTAAAATAAATACAAGTAAAATAGTTGGTAGGAAAATTAGAGATATACAAGACTTTTATCGAATTCATCTGTCTTTCATGGTATTTTATCCACGTCGGAAAATGCATTTGATTGTTGTAGGGTCTTAGGTTCGTGTAGTCAAAATTCGAAATGTTGCCTTATGGGACTTCTTTTAATGAATCGTTTTCAAAATATTCCAAAAACTATGGTTCTGTACGTTGGGTGCGTACACCTTCAATATTTTTACATGGCACTTGAGAAAATGTATTCCTGCATCTGCTGAGGACATTAAGGCACCAGTCTTTGTCATGCAAATTAGTTAGAAATTCGATGACACTTTTTCCTGCACGATCTAATAGTTAATCATTACTTGCAGATCAAAACTGGTTAGTGGTCTTCCCAACTCTTATTATTAACCTTATTATATATAGTTATTTTGAAAAAGCCATAAAAATAAGCGACAGCCTAATAACTAATTCCCGTTGTCTGTACCGCATCAACTACCTGCAGCAGTTGCTTTCCTGTATAATGACTGTAACATCTAGTCCACAGCTTCCTTTTTTAAATGCGGCCTATTTGGCAACTCCAATTACATCAAAACTCACAGCAACCTGCTCTGCAAAAATTTAGCTACATAGTCTCAACATGTCTTTCACTAACAAGCCATATAACAACTTTTAAAAAATACTATCTACATCCATCAGCAGTTACCGTTTGAATTTTATACACAAAGTATTATTCTGGCATCTATTTGTTGACTCCTGATTTTTTGGCTGCTAAAATACTTCACAGAAACAAACCAACAATACCAAACATGATTGTTGGCGTTGCCATTTCTTTAAAACAATTAATTTTTTAGAGATTTCTTAACAATAGGGTGAAGTCACCCTCGCAATGCAAAATCGCACCGGTCTACAGTACTGTTATCAGATGTATATACTTATTGCTTGCCTATTAGACTATACGAAAGTGACTGTATGAGGTGTAAATCAATAACAAGCTCTAATGTGAAGGTAACTGACTTACTTTGATTTATTTTTGTAGCACTGGCTCTTTCAGTATCCTCAGGTATATAGGTAGGATCATCTATAGAATCATCTTTGTCACTAAGATCAAATTCAGAAACTGCAACATCTACAAACAAAATAAGTACAACAAATTATCACTGTAACCTGTATATATGCATACACCCACTTCCTTTCTTTTAGATTATTTGAAACTGACTGCATCAGCAACTTAATCCCAGATTTACTTTTTTACATACTTACTTTGATTTAGTTTTGTAGCACTGGCTCTTTCAGTATTGGCAGGTATATGGGTAGGATCATCTATAGAATCATCTTTGTCCCTAAGATCAAATTCAGAAACTGCAACATCTACAAACAAAATAAGTACAACAAAATTATCACTGTAACCTGTATATATGCATACACCCACTTCCTTGTCTTTTAGATTATAAGTGACTGCATCAGCAACTTAATCCCATACATTAATAGGACTGTACTGGAGATTCATATCTTTGTCTTTCTAAAACATTTGATAACACTACTTACCCTTTTTCACCAAAGCATTTGGATTAGTTTCAAATTCTTCAACAGGTATTTGTTCACTAAGCAAGTCATTAAGGTCGACATCATTTTCAACGCAACTATCATCAAGGTATAAATCATTGTCAAAATAATTATCAGAACTGCTATTACCATCACTTGTAGATGGTTTATTAGACATTTCTCTTTCTTCATTGCGTATGGCCGTGCATGATTCCTTGATTGAAGTTGATGGAACAAAACCGGAAATATCAAAGATCAGATAATCGTCTCCTACAAAATATTTAAAATATGAAAAAACTACTTAGGAGATAATTTTGTAATTGCCATACCTTCACCTACAGCTTGCCGGTCTGTAAGTTCTTGGAGATTTGTTTCTTTGTCAATAACTGTCGTCCCTTCATTACCTACTGGCTTGCATGATTCGGCAAAGTTATTGCAATAATTTGAAGTTGATGAGACATTTACTGTTGGGATGGAATTGGAAATATTCAAAATAAAATAGTCTTGGCTCATTGTAGTGCCTGCTATTTCTGCAAGTTGAGTGCTTTGTGGTTGTAGAGACATCTGGGGGATTTCTTCTATATTGCTGGATTGAGGACTTTCAGAAATTGTTTGTAAGTGGAGGTTACCTGGTTTTTGAACTAGAGGAGGGTTTTCTAGTTGTTCAGGCTGAGAGATTTCTGATTTGTCAAGTAGCGGTGGGATTTCTGCTGTTTTAATTGACAGAGAGTTTTCCGCAATGACTTGGACACTTTGTAATATTTCTGTATGGTCGAATTCATTACCAGTGCTACATTCCTTCAAACATTGCAGTGATACTTTCGGCCTCCCACAATTTAAATTGAAAGCTAAATTTTCGAGAAGATATTTATTTGTATGGACTGCTAATATCTGGACTTGGTAGGAAGCTCCATTCCACTTTAATAATTTTAAATTGCCTTCCATTTTTACCTCTTCCATTCTTTTAATGTATGCCTCATTAGAACCTTCAAAGATTAGTAAACCATACAATATTTTGTGGTTTCCTCTAAGTTTTGAAGTTCTACAAAAAAAGGGTATATAACATAATTATCAGACACTAGCTACACAATAATCATGAAAAAAATTTGATAAGGAATTATAAACAACGTGAAAATTAAACTAGACATTTTGACATGTTACAATTTCGGGTTGCAGAGGATTATTCATTATATTTTGGCCACCGCTTGCTTTAGTTATTAAAGATTTAAAAAATGTTTCAAAAACGAGTTATATAGCAGAACCTATATTTTTTTATAATGGCCATCTTTTCCTGATTTCAAAAATATAAATACAATAACATTATCCTCAGACGTTTTTGAGATATTATTCATGGAAAAGTGCAGTTAGATATTTGAAAGAGGAACCAATATACAATTATTTATGTAGCCAATGAAAATAATACAATATAACTTTTTATTTATGGCTTATTTATTGAAATAGCCTAATGCTAAATTTATAAACAAAAAGTTAATTTGATTTCCGCCATGAAATAATTTTATATTTTTAGAATGGGAATTATTTGTGAAATTGGTTTTATTAGTTATCTCCCTAATTATACGCCATGCGGATTTATTTTTATTATCAGAAGTTTCAATTTGGTTACTGTAAAAATGAGTTTTGGTTCTATTTACTAATACTGTATGCTGAATTTTCCTCTCCTTAAAAATTGGTTTAAGCACTGGATGTACTTTCTGAATTTTATTAAGATCATTTAATCTTTGGCTTGATGTTCTGACTTCATCATTAACCCAGTTTTTCTTTTTGTAAACTTCTTTCTTTTCTAAAGGAATATCTATATTTATATTTTTAGCAATAATATTGAAGAAAACATCTACTTTTTCATCCAAGTTGGTTTCTTTATATGTACATAACCATGTTTCTTCACTAAGAAGATCTTTAAATTTTTTTATTTTAGATTTATTAAATTTTCTTAAGGTGGTATTTTGGATATATACATTGTCTGTCAGATTTGAATGATTTGGAACCAATACAAGTCTGTGATCAGACATGTACGTATCCACTACTCTTGATGATATATTAAAATTGACAAATATATTATCTATCCTCGTTTTACTTGTACTAGTTACTCGTTTATAATCATTTACAATACTATACAGGCCAAATTGACTCATCAGATTGACCAGATTATCTTTATTTTTGTTTGTGTCATCAGCCACGTCCACATTAAAATCCCCTGTGACCCATAAGACCGAATCTAAAGAAAAAAGAGCTTCTAACACAAGTTCAAACTTTTCTAAAAATAATTTAAAATCCGCAGAAGGCGATCTATATATTGCTAATAACCTATGGACTTTACTTGTATTAGTTACCCATTCACATCCACAACATTCAATAACTTTTTCATCATTACACTGAGTTAAAGATAAGTGAATGAATTCCTTCAATTCTAGTTAATTATAATGTGCACATATTTGTGTTTAATGACCGTACTGTATAATAAACAATACACAGCATTATCTATCCATGCAACGGAAAATAAACATAAATTTGATTTTGACAACACAAAAATTATAGATACCGAAAACAATTATAACAAGAGATTAGAAATGATTAACATAAAACAAAACCATAAATCCATAAATTTCCGAACTGATGTGGACAACCTGAGTAGTATATATAGCAATTTGATCCAATAAATTTCTGCATCTTACTATCCTACGTATTAATTTTTAAAACCATCCTGTATAAATCACCTCACTTTATAATAGTTTTTTAACTAATATTTACATATATCAAGTAAAAAGTAAAACTTAATTTTATATTCATTTGTAGTTTGACTAACCTCCTAGGAGGTTATTTGATTTTTAAAGTTGAATATTTATTTATTAATGTAAGTTGATTTTTAATGTGTAAAGATATTAGATGAAAAACATAAATTGTAAATAAAATGAACCGAAACGTTAAGAAGTAAAAAAATGTTAATTTTATTATATTGACCGCTTCCTATTAAAAATTAAAAAATATAATGTGCATGTTTTCTCATAAAATTCCACAGGGTAAGTTATATTATTATCTTTCGACACATCCAGAGGTACATGCTAGTATTTTATATATGTATAAGATTCATTAACTGGCTAATTGGTTTTTGCCAAAGCCATATAAGTACTTAAAAAAAAGATTAATTTACTTTAAATTTCAAATTAAGTTTTGGACTTTAAACAAACATTTAAAAGAATTAATAGTTTAATAAATGTTAATTTCAAAACCATATTAAACAAACTACTGCAGTTATTGAAGTGGAATTCGTTGAATTTTATGAAAATGCCAAATTATTTGTTCATTTACACTGCCTTACCCCTTGAATTAATTAAAGTAAAAGTGTTCTAAGCACTTTTAGAGGCCAACAGAACAGATATATTTACTCCCCTATTGAAAGATTTTCAAGTACCAATAGGTATACATCATTACCATAATATGATCAACTTATATTTACCTTTGAGATTTTCCTCGTATTTCCTTTGAACTCCTATTCTTCATTGTTTTCAAAACGACGCAAAAATAAACTTAATAACTACAAACCAAACTACGCACAGAAGAAGTACGATATAACTGAAAGAAAACACCAAATTGGTTATGTTGTAGTTGACGGGTCTAGAAATGCGCGCGTTCACACCCAGGGTTGCCAACCGGTCTTTACCAATTTACTCTCAAAAACTTTTCCGGATTACTCACAATTACTCACAACTTGAAAATATCAATATTACTAGTTTTTTTTTAATAAATCGTATATTTCGTACTCTTGCACTTTGGTTTGAATTTATTTTACTACTGTGCAATGTTGCCAAACATTAAAAGAGAAATTTTCAGAACATACAAGAGTCAAAACAGATGCACCTTTTTTCTGTTCATTTATTTTTTTAATAACCAAGTAATATACAGGTTGATTCATAACTATTGGGACATAGGCTAAGGCAGGTTATTTGGATAAAAATATGGCGATAGGACCAAATATACCTTAATAAAATATTGCTGTGGAATAAGATACAGGAGTCTATTCTGTAACAATTCCTTTATATTTAACGGCCTTTAAAAATATTTTCTTCTTTACTTCTGTCATTTTATTTAAACGGATCTTTAAAATACATTAGAGGACTATCTTAAAGAAATCTGTTTAAATAATGACAGAAGTAAATTAACGAATACAAACATATTTTTAAAGGTCGCCAATATTTTTAAAGGCCGTTAAATATAAAGCAATTGTTACAGAATAGACCCCACAGGGCGTTAAATTTGAATACTGTTTTTTTGTTTTTTTCTGATGTCACTGTATATTTATGAATTGATATCAAAATTGGCACAAAGGCATATTTTTCGACAAGGAATAATATTTTATGTATTATTTCACATTTTGTTACAGGAGGCGCCACGTGAATGATTCCTGATGATGAAATTAAGTGGTAGCTTTTTTTACGAAACTTTTTAGTATTTTTGATTAGAAAATTTCACCCGTTTTCGAGAAAAACGCAATTGAACAACTCACAAAACATTTCATTTATGAAAAAATTGCTTTGTTGTGTCAAATAATTTGCTGTTAGATTATAGTCTATTATTATTATTACTATTATTAATATTATTTAACGCCCTGTATCTTATTCCACAGCAATATTTTATTAAGGTATATATTTGGCCCTATCCCCATATTTTGATACAAATAACCTGCCCTTAGCCTATGTTCCAAATAGTTATGAACCACCCTGTATATAAAACATCTTTGTCATCAGCTGAAAAAAAAAACAGATCAAAAGGTTTGGAGAATCAGAGTAGCTTCTTTATTAACGGGCCAAATCATAATAAATCATTAAATAATTCTAATACTTAAAAAAAATCTACTAATAAAAATATATACTTTTAAAATGAACAAAAAAATTAATCGACGATTGGGACAGTCCCAATGGGACTATCCACTATCGACACGACACCTATAGTGTTGTAAAATATCAAAATTACTTTTACTCTTTTACATTGACCAAGCAATAGAGGACGTTGCAATTTTAAAACTATAAAATTGTAATGACTGCTAAAAGTGCTGGGGGGGGGGGGGGGGGGAAATAAAATAAGGCTTATATTAAAATTTTAAAAAGAACACGGTTTTAATAAATTATCTGATCAGGATTTTGCCTAACTACCATGAATATACCCACGCTGACTTCCCGATTACTCACATATTACTCACAATTGCCCTTTACTCACAAAATTACTCACAGACTAGTAAATTACTCACAAATGTGAAGAATTACTCACAGATTGGCAACCCTGTTCACACCACTCTGCACTGACGTCTAGAATTTGAATTTGCACAAGCCACGTTGCCAAATCTCCACTTTCATTTCAGCTTGTTTTATTTTATAGTTTATTTTTCAATCAAATTGTAACCTCTGTACATTAAAATGTATGATAAATAAATATAAAAATTTATATTATATTTTGATATAACAATTCTGTTTTGTTTTATAAGACAGTTTTGAAAGATTTTAGATTTAAATTTTGTAATTATCACTATTGAAAGGTATTATTCACATTAAAAAACGATCGTATTACTTGAAAATCTTCAGAACATTTTTTTATTGTTATGGGTTTTTTAATCGATGTAAAAATTGGTAAATAGATGATTAAAAGTAAAATAGTTATTTCAATCTGCTTATTCCCGGGTTCCAAATAATTAAATATAACCTGGCAACTCCGTAACGATTCCGACTGGCAGAACTAGCCGGAACAGAAATGGTGCGCACTGGCCCATTTCCAGACCCTTCAACTGCAACATAACCCTGTTATGTATTTATGTTGTTTATATTGTTGTATTTATATTGATTTTCATAGACACTAACATTATTTATTCTCGTATTCCTAGTTGACCTAGTTAGTACCGAATATGCGTCACCAGTCATCAACCTTCCAGCCTACTGACCTACACCTGCTTTTATCAAGTGAGCTAGTATGCTAGTGCTAGTAAGCACCACGCCTCAGGTTTCAGACCAGCGACGTTGCCGTATATTCTGCGAAGTGGCAGAATACATGACATACACAATTCCATATTGTTAACCATCAATGTATAATTTTTTTCTACACCCGTATTATAATAATGCACTTATATGCCCATAATCCGTTTCATAATGATACCCATTATGATACAGATTTTTCATTACGATACAGATTTTTAATCAATAGAAACCTACAATTTTTCAATCAAGCATGCTGTTTGACGTTTGTCCTAGGTTCCTATGTAATTATTTTAGTTGTCAAAACGTATTAAATTTTCGTAGGTAGCTAAACTTCGATAATTATAATATTAAAATGTCTGATATTAGCGATATAGAAGACTCCTCCACACATATCGGAGAAAGCAGAAAATACAGTACAAAATATTTTACCGCAAAAATCTAGGGAAATACCAATACCTGAAGTAATACCATTAATTACAATTTTGTAGAATTTTTTATAGAAATACGAGTAATTACTGTTATTGTGTTCAATACCAATATAAATATAATATTTATAGGTCTTGATTATTTATCGGGTGTAGAAAAAATAGCGTATGCAACTCTCATGTAATGGTTATTACATGATCGTTGCATAATATACTATTTTAATTATGGTTTCATACAATACTTGACAAATTAAGATATGGCCATGTAAACCGGTTTCTTCGTTTTTGAACCATGTTCACACAGCAAATGTTTAAAATTAGAAAATTCCAATTTCAATTTTTTACAGCTTTTTGAATTATTCGCTTCAGAAGATAAGTGTAATACATAATTGAGTTCGGTTATTTATGAAGAATTAAAAATGTGACATGTTTAAAAAATAACTTTATGCTACCCACCTTCCAATGATACATTTCAAAATAATTTCAAAATTCGGAGTTCAGAATACTGTATACATGTATTCAAAAATTTTTCTTACGAGTCTATAGATAAGGGAGTTATAGAGCTACGACATAGGTTATGGTTTGCCGGACCCTGTATACATGTTAAGACAGCTACATTATGAACATATCCTACGTAAAGTCCATTAATTGACGTTGTTTTAAAAGTTGAGAAATGCTTAAATAATATATTTATATAAATTGTACATTCTAAAGTTAAATTTTTTAATAGTTACTTAACTGAAATATTAAAAAATTTTGGAAAATTATATCAAAGTATATTATAACAGGGTGTGTACTATTTCATAGGGTCGATCAGTATTGGTATCTCATAAACTAGAGGAGTTAGAGAAATGGATAAATGGGAGAAAAGTTGCTTATTCATGAAAGATATAAACTGGCCCACTCAGCATTACCGTAACCAGGTCCGTATTAAAAATATTTAAAAATAATAGAAAAGTCCCATTTTCTTATTTTTGTGCTAACTCCTGTATTCCTCAAAATATTAAAAAATGTATTTAAACTTTTGGTTACATTCGAGAAGTACTACATTTGTACCTTTTTAGTTTTTTAATGCAACGTTTCGTATCTTCGCAGGGCCACCATCGACATTGATATTTTAAATACGGACCTGGAATTTTTTTAACGCCTTCCTCTATGCTTATATTATCCCTTCAGGGCTAGCTCCTAAAACATACTCTTCACCATGTCCGACAAATAGTCCACCCACAATCATTTACTTTTAAATTGGTTTCTTTTTCAAAAGTCTTGATCGCCAAGGGTTCAAAATCTAATCCATACTTAGTATTTTTATTAGCAGTACTTAAAAGGGTCATTAAATAGTTTTTCCGCCTCCCGCTATCCAAAGTATACATTTCCGGACCTCATTGTAGGGAGCAAAGTCGGACTTTTCCTCCCTAGGGAGTAAAAGTACTTTTCCTCCCTAGAGAGGAAAAGTAAAAGTGCAGAAGTCATGGTAAGTCATCGATGAAATAACGTATAGGGCATTGACGATCACCTAAACTATAATCTATTATATATAAGTATAAATTTTACCGTTTATTTATAGAACACCCTGTATTTAGCAAAATGGTAAAATCAGTAAATTGTTGTTTTAATTTAACGACTTTTACATTAATAATTTGACTTCAATTCATAGATTCATCCGGTTTTCGAATTTAGGACAGAAATGTCGATTGACAGATTAACAGCCGGTTGCACGAACGATTGTTAAAATCTCTGATTAGCTAATGAACCCATAACTTTGATGGCTCTTTAAATTGCCCTGATTATATGACAAATGATAAATTTGGCAACGGCGCTTTCCCAAGTGACAGAAGATAATCTCAGGTTTCAGGTTAAAATACTAATAGTCCAAATATTGTATTTAATTATAAAATATAAACGAAACATAATTATTTTCTGTATGTAATTCAAGTTGAAATATTATAAAAAATAAGTTACTTTAATCTACTAGTGCAGAAACTTCGAAATTGCCATATCATAATAGTAAGATGAAAATCAAACCTACATACATTGTATACACAGCTGAAACAACGTACTTGGCTGACTTGGCTCATATATTTGGCGACATAAACTACAAGATTACCAAAGAAAAAACTCCAAGAAACTCAAGAAAATAGACATGACAAGGTAAGTATTTTTTTTTACTGCATTCATTATCATAATATTTATAATATAGGGTTGCTGTAATAATACTCTCCCTGTAGTTATTCAACCCCTTACAAGTAACCTCCTGAAGAACTTGTTCAGGGAGAGGTGGAGATTTTATTATTTATAGTGGCTTTATTCTCTGGAATAAAATACTTATACATTTTTTTATCGAGAATCGTGATTGTAATTTCTTAAACAATGTATTAACTGCTTGAAGCACAGGTAGAATTTTGATGT